CTTTCCTACGAGGCCCCCTCCCGGGCTGAATACCTGAGGCTTGTGGTGGCTGGAAATCGGTTGCTTAGGGAAGTTTTCCCCTGTACCACACTTGTATTGCAAATGAGAAATGTTCGAGTATGCAAAAATACTTTGAGCTGTGGTGACAAGAAACTAAGAGATATGTAATGGCTTATTAACTTGGATCTTATGTGGATTTGAATTTCATTGTTAGCCTGTCTTTTCTAATGTACAGGTAACTCGTGTCTGCCTGAGATTCACAGGGGGAGCCTTAGCTGAAAGGAAAGGGGGCCGAGGGTGGGTGGGAAGGAAGACGTCGACCTGCGTTGGAGCAGCCTGTCCTCACTGCCCGACTGTCCTTTCAGGGCCGTCTCACCTGCTCCCAGACCACCCAGCCAGCTGAAGCCCTTCCCTGGCGCCCACCCTGCGACACCGCCCAGTAGCCCCCAGCCTCTCCGGACATCAGGCCCACAGAACTCCACCTCTGCTCCCCTGCCTCAGGTCAATGGGGGCTTCAGGGTCCCTCCATACCAGCTGCCGGAGGCCAGCGCGCGCCCCCAGAGCCTCCATAAGAAGAGGAAAAGGAACCGCTCGGGAGCGATGCAGGAGGGGGGCGCAGAGGCCGGGGAGGCAGCGACCCCTCCCGGGAAGAAGAGGAGGAAGAAGAGGAAGCGCCCGGAGGACTCAGACTCCACCCCGCTGCAGGAAGGGCAGACGCAGGGGCAGCGCGGGGGCCCCGAGGGCAGGAAGGCGGGCCGGGCAGAGCGGCTGGCGGACAGGCCGGAGGAAGAGGGCGGCCAGCACCTGGCGAATGGCTGGCAAGTGGGGTGCGGGACAGGCGGCCCCCACGTGAGCAACAAGAAGAGGAGGAGGAAGGGCACGGAGGGCTTGGGCAGAGAAGACTGCCTCCACCAGGGCCCACCTTGGCACAGGTGAGAGCAGGAGCGAGACAGCCTTGCCCCTACCGACATCCACCCCATCCGCTCCCGGGGGTGTTGTCTGGAGAGACGGTGTGCCGTCTCCAGACTAGAACGTGAACGTGTCGTAAGGGTCTCAGTGGGACGGTGAGCGGGCGGCAGCATTCCAGACCTGGCCGGCACCGCGTGTCCAGGGTGGTCACCTGACCCCAGGCTGGCCAGGCTGCGGTCGCATCCCCCAGTTCGAGGGACTCCTTCGGTCAGGATTAGAAAGGCAGTTGTGCTCGTCCCTCTAACGTCCCTCATGCTTACCTGGGGCCGTGGACACCAGCGCGCTTCGTGCCCCGGGTCAGGTTCGGCGGCTGCCGGGCAGGGCTGAGGCACGTGCCGGCCGGAGGCAGGGGTGGGCTGGCCCTCGTCCGCTCGGAGCTGACTGTTGAGTCTGCTTCCTGGTAGCTGCCCTCCTCCGGACGTCCTCGAGCCAGAGGCCACTGCAGCTTCTCCAAGGAAAAAGAAAAAGAGGAAAAGGAAGCAGGAGTCACGGCAGGAAGCAGCAGGGAACAAGCGTGCGGAAGGCTGGCAGGGCGCCCGGCAGACGGGCTCTGCCTCCCCCGGGAGCGGCCCCTCGCCCGCGGCGAACGGTCAGTGTCCGGGGACCGTGCAGGGTGCGCCTGGGCGGGGGACACGCTGTGGGGGAGGGGGCTGCAGGCAAGTGCGCGGCCTCACCCCCAGCGACTTAATCACCAGCGCCCTTGTCGGGTGGCGGGACAGAGCTCACTTTCTCATCTTTAAAGCATTTACCATATGTTCTGGGATTCTGCTGTAAATAAAAGGTGTGGGATCTTCTCCGCAGTGGTTTTTTAAATGTACGTACATGTTTCTGTGCTTGTAGGGCTGGAACAGGCTCCTCTGCTATCCTGGCACAGAGAGCGAGAACCTGACGTGGTCCAGGAGTTGCTCAAATACTCATCTGATAAAGCTTACGGGAAGAAAGGTACCTAGGGGTGGGGGCGCCCAAGTGGCGGCTGGGGTGCCAGGAGCCTGGAGTGCAGGAGTCAGTTGCTCGACTTTAAAGATGGGAAGGGGATTAAATGTTGTCATCCTCTCTGACCCCCACGGCCATTGCACAAAGGTCAAGAAGCCGTCCCTGCGGGTGGGTTTTGTCTGGAAGGATCCAGAATAGCTTCTCCTGGGCCCATGGGCAGGAGGTGCCCCTCTGGGCAGGCCAGGCCAAGGGGCAGGGAGGGGACTGAAACACGGGTGCAGCACCCGTGCGTGAGGTCTTCTTCAGAACGTTAGTTTTAGAATTCAGACGTGGAGAAACAACATCAGCTCTTTGTTTTTCAAATGAGGCCGTGGGTTTATGGAACTAACCTTCGTGGGTTGTGTTAACAGAGAGTTAACAGTACTTACTTTAAAGTGACAGAATCACGGACTGTCATGCACTCTGAGATCCCTGTGTCCCTCCCCTGTCCTCCTCTACATGGCCATTTTCACCAAAAGTTGGCACTCAGACATTCTCAGTAATGAGGGTAGCTGGGAACCCGCAGAGGTGCCCACACGCATGTCTGTTGTTGTAGTGTTGACGTGGGACGGTGAGGTGTCTGCCGTTAGCCAGGATGCTGTTCAAGACAGCAGGTTGGCCCGCATGGCCACCGTGATCGACGACTGGGACGAAGAGGTCGATCGCGGGAAGGTACAGTGTGCAACCCGACTGCCACGTGTGCCCGGGCCCTCAGGGAAGCTTGGCTGAGGGCCAGGCCAGGGGGTACTTGACCTTTCGGGGCCGTGTGAAGTCGCAGCAGTGTTATAAAGTGGTCGAGGGCCAGACTAGAGCCAGAGGCCCAGGTTCTGGCGCTGCGTGGCCGCTCGGAACGTCATGTGGCCATGACAAGACATCGGTCCCCCATTTGCGTCTGTTCCTTCAGCAGTGAAGTGGGGGGCCTCCCACAGGCCATGTGAGGAGTAAATCTGTGGGTTACATAGCTCTGGGAGAGTCGTGCCCGCACATAGGAGCCCCCGGGGCCAGGGGAGAGCCCTTTGTGGGAATTGTGACACCTGTGATTCTTGATACAGGAAAAGAAAATTAAAAAATTTAAGAGAGAGAAGAAAAGAAACTTCAATGCTTTCCAGAAGCTTCAGAGTAGACGGAACTTTTGGTCTGTGACTCATCCAGCCAAGGCCGCCAGCCTCAGCTACCGCCGCTGAGTCGCTGCTGTCAAACCAAGTCAGTTTGGGGGTGAATGTGTGTGTGTGTGGTGTGTGTGTGGTGTATGTGTGTCCTGTGTGTCATGAGAGTGTGTGTGATGTGTGTGAGTGCGAGTGTCGTGTGTGTATAGTGTGCAGGTGTGTGTGGTGTGGGCGTGAGTGTGTGTGTCATGTGCGGTGTGTGGTGTGTTTGTGGTGTGTGTGAGTTTCGTGTGTGTGAGTGTGGATGTGATGTGAGTGTGGCGTGTGCACACACTGGTCACTTGCAGAGGAGGACTGTGCTGTGTCCCCAGGCTCCATCTCGTGTCCCATGTTGCAGTGTGTTGGCCGCGCATAGGAATGGGGGTGCTGGGACTCTTGGGGTCTCATTTCTCTGTCAGGACCACTGTTGTTTGCTCCACAGACTCCCAGAAACGGAGCGTCCCTTCCTGGGAACTGTCCACCTGGACTGAAGAGCAGCCTTCTTGCAGACTCCGCTGGCTCTGTCACTCCCAGGCTCCGCACTGTGAGCCTGCTATGAGAGGACCACACGTAGAGGCTCCGGCTTCTGGAGATCAGGACCTCTGGGGACACAACAGGCATCGTGACAAACCACACAGTGACTGTGGAGCAGGCGGCTGGGACCTGACTGCAGTGTCTGGTCCGGGGCCCTGGGAGAGAGCAGGGGAGGACGACGGCCACGNAGCCACACACGGTAGCTTATGGCAGCCCACTGCAGCAGGGGACTCACAGCCGCCCAGCTCCAGGTTGAGCTGTTGTTCACCATCTTAGCTGTAGAGGGCAGTGTCACTGGCTCTCATGTGGGATCCGAACTGGGTCCCTGCTGCTCAGAGCTGGCGTCCCAAGCCAGCTCTTGACCAACGTGCCACTCGGCCGGCCCTCAACAGATAGTTTTTAAGCACAGACTCTACAAGACCCGGAACTTGTTGAGAGGTTTGTAATGGTGAACAGTCCATATTCAGGCCTCTGGGGCATTTGAACACAGTAACAGATTTAGACACAATTGTAAGAGTTCTGTGCAGTGGAAGGATGAAGCGCCTAGCTTAGTGTGGTATTGTTCATTTCAGCGACTACTACAGACAGCGTAGCTTACAGAAACTGGATACAGTGAGATGGTTGCTAGTCAAACCTTACCGACCTTCACTGACAGCATAATTTAGGATGCTCGAGACCATAAGGTTCAGGTGAGACTGACTGGTTTCTCCTGTGCTGGCCAAAACCAGTCAGAGGAAAAGACCAAAAGGAGAAACACATTCATTGGTGGTTATGTTTAAGTGATGGAACTTTGGTCAATTTTTTTCCTTTGTAGTTTTTTGTATTTCTCAAATCTTGATGAAATGTACTGCTTTCATAGTAAAGATGATTATAAAGATACATCCCCATATGTACACAACTCACAAGATACTAAAATTGTTCAGAGCAGTAACCATGTTTCTACAGTGTGTCCATATAAATCAATCGCCCTGAGGTGCCTGGCAGAGACCCTGCCCACTGCTAGTCTGTGCTGCCCCCTGGTGGGAGAGTCGCCGGGTTCTGATCGGGTCCCCTGCTGTGCTGTCTTGTAGAGACTGGACCCTGCGGCAATGAAGAAGACGCAGAGCACTGAGGAGACGGGTGCACCTGTTTCCAGGAACGGCTCCATGTCGGGCCTGAAGTCGCAGAATGGATACGCTCCGCCAAAGCTGCCCTCGGGGTCCCCGTCCCCCAGACTCTCTAAAACACCCACACACCTGCCGACCATTCTGGATGAGCCTGGAAAGAAAATCAAGAAATCGACTCCTCTACAGCACTTCTCCCCAGCTCTCAAAACTTCTCAGGGGTTCCATGGTGCCAGCGACCCAAGCGGCAGCCGGTCTGAGGGCCGCAGGCCAGGCTCCTGGGACGGCAGGGGCTCCATCCTCTCTACCTCACCCAAGCTCCCGGCTGCAGTGACTGCCAATGGGCACGGGCCCAAGGGCGCCACCGAGGGCTCTGACCTCGAGAGGGTGGACTCCAGCAGTTCCAGCCCGGAGCATTCTGCCAGCAGCGACCCCTCCCAGGCCCCCCAAACCCCCAGGAGTGGAGCCCGCTTCCGTGATTCTCAGGGAACAACTTGTGCTGCTACTGGCCCCTCCAGGGCACTGCCGGGTGGAGAAGACTCGAAGGCGGCGAAGCCGAGGTCCCCTGTCCTGAGCAGCACCACCCCCGAGCCCGCAAACACCATGTCTCCTCCTCCAGCCAAAAAACTGGCCCTCTCTGCCAGGAAGGTGGGTGTGTGGGAGTCTCATCGTGGGAAGCACACGTGTCAGTAGGGGTTTGGTTTAGGGGAGTGGGAAACTGTGGGCCCCCCTCGAGCCAGCAGAGCAGGCCTTTTCAGGCCTTCCCAGGCATCCGCAGATGACGGGCTGTGCTGGGATGAGGGCCGGGGTTCAGGGAACTCTGACACCCATGTCAGTGCATGTGGCGGATGGAGGCGAGACGGCAGGTCTCCCTGCCTGTCTGTGGACGAGGAACGGGACCTCCTACAGGATTCTCCGCGGGAGGACCGGGCGGCCGGTGCCTCTGGGTGCAGCTCGATGATGGAATGGTCGTGCTGAGATTTTTGTTGAAATTTCCTTTCTTTTTTCCTTTTTGTTTCTAACCAAAAACACTTCTGATTCTTCTTCTACCATTTCCCACCCCTCACTTCCCCTCTTTTTTTCCTCCTGTCCCCTCATCCTGCTCTCTGGGCTCTTTTATTTTTTTTTATTTTATATTTTTTTTTACATTTATTTTCCCTCTTCACTCACGGCAACCTTTTTTAGACCACCAAGTTTTTATTTATGTCAATAACTGCAGGCCAGCACCCTGCGGAGGGCAACCGGCAATGACCTCCATGCACCTCCCCCCTCACCATTCTCCGACCTCACCTACCCCAGGAAAGCCACTCACCCCGCCGTCGCCTGCACCCGGCCTGTCAGCACAGCCAGGTAAGCGCGGGCACAGGCTCACCTGGGCCGGCCGCTTCCCGCGTGGCTCCCGTGCGCTCAGCTGGCGAAGAGCTGCAGGGTGACCGCCCGCGGGATGGACAGGGGCGCAGCTGGACAGGTACAGGGCGCCGTCCTGCACCCAGTTCTTCCCGTTAGCACCTGGCCAGCAAGCTTGGCTGCTCAGAGGCACTTGGGTCTCTGCAGCCCTGGGTCCCTTTGCCTGCCTTCTCCGTCTGCCTGCCACATCCATGTGGTGACCCCAGGGTGCTGTGAGCCGATCTGTTCTGTGGCCCCTCCGCAGCCCCAGGACAGGACCCCCCAGAAGGAGAGAAGGGCAGGAGCTCCAGAGAGACCCCAAGTGGGCTTAGGAGCCTGTGAATTTGGTGACGGGCATCTTGCATCTCCCAACAGTGCTCCCCAGGCTCGTCTCTGAGTGGGGCGGGCTTTGTTTCTTTCGTCCCCAGAGCCTCCCTGGGTGGGGACCGTCCCCTGCTCTGTCCACTTTGCGCCGGCTGCTCCAGCAGGGCCGGAGGTCCTGGCCCGCCTCCCGTTCCAGTGGACACACGGTGCTCACCTCCCTTAGTGTGTCGAGTGGCAAAAAGCTGCGAGTTCCTGATAAGTGGCTGTCAGCCTTCGGCAGCTGGGGGGGAAGGAAGACGCGGCGAGGCCGTGAGGTGGTTTGGTGTCGGCCATGGTCAGGGATGCGCCCTCCCGCCCCTCCACTCTGGCCGCCCTCCCGCACGCTAGGGGGTGCTATTGGACCAAGGTTCCCCCTCACCCAGCACCCCACGGCCTCTGCCTCTCACACTTATCGCACCGCTGTACCTGGCACAGTATTTTTGCATATGCCAGGTCCTTAAACATTTAAGGGATTTATTGGGTGTTCTGTTTCCTTGACACACAACATTTTTTTAAAATCCCAGAAAACAGAGTAGTAAGATGTCGTACAGTTTGTATGGCCGTTGCAGCTTATTCTGGTTTAGATGACGATAAAAATCCTTTTTGATTCAGTCACCTGCTGAGATAGGCATTATTGTCAGTCACTGACGAAAGAGACAGTCGTGGTTCGGAGTAGAGAGTTCATGTTTCCGAGGTCACGCAGCGAATTGGACATACATCCAAGAGTCTGACCCGTCTAGACATGGCTCTAGATCCCATCCGTCACTCACCTGGCTGTAAATCTGTTTCCTCGAGTTTACTGAGCCCCGCATTTCAGGGGGAAATCCCAGTGGAAGATGTCTGGGCCTGCACGCGCCTTTCCAACGAGGCCCCCTCCCGGGCTGAATACCTGAGGCTTGTGGTGGCTGGAAATCGGTTGCTTAGGGAAGTTTTCCCCTGTACCACACTTGTATTGCAAATGAGAAATGTTCGAGTATGCAAAAATACTTTGAGCTGTGGTGACAAGAAACTAAGAGATATGTAATGGCTTATTAACTTGGATCTTATGTGGATTTGAATTTCATTGTTAGCCTGTCTTTTCTAATGTACAGGTAACTCGTGTCTGCCTGAGATTCACAGGGGGAGCCTTAGCTGAAAGGAAAGGGGGCCGAGGGTGGGTGGGAAGGAAGACGTCGACCTGCGTTGGAGCAGCCTGTCCTCACTGCCCGACTGTCCTTTCAGGGCCGTCTCACCTGCTCCCAGACCACCCAGCCAGCTGAAGCCCTTCCCTGGCGCCCACCCTGTGACACCGCCCAGTAGCCCCCAGCCTCTCCGGACATCAGGCCCACAGAACTCCACCTCTGCTCCCCTGCCTCAGGTCAATGGGGGCTTCAGGGTCCCTCCATACCAGCTGCCGGAGGCCAGCGCGCGCCCCCAGAGCCTCCATAAGAAGAGGAAAAGGAACCGCTCGGGAGCGATGCAGGAGGGGGGCGCAGAGGCCGGGGAGGCAGCGACCCCTCCCGGGAAGAAGAGGAGGAAGAAGAGGAAGCGCCCGGAGGACTCAGACTCCACCCCGCTGCAGGAAGGGCAGACGCAGGGGCAGCGCGGGGGCCCCGAGGGCAGGAAGGCGGGCCGGGCAGAGCGGCTGGCGGACAGGCCGGAGGAAGAGGGCGGCCAGCACCTGGCGAATGGCTGGCAAGTGGGGTGCGGGACAGGCGGCCCCCACGTGAGCAACAAGAAGAGGAGGAGGAAGGGCACGGAGGGCTTGGGCAGAGAAGACTGCCTCCACCAGGGCCCACCTTGGCACAGGTGAGAGCAGGAGCGAGACAGCCTTGCCCCTACCGGCATCCACCCCATCCGCTCCCGGGGGTGTTGTCTGGAGAGACGGTGTGCCGTCTCCAGACTAGAACGTGAACGTGTCGTAAGGGTCTCAGTGGGACGGTGAGCGGGCGGCAGCATTCCAGACCTGGCCGGCACCGCGTGTCCAGGGTGGTCACCTGACCCCAGGCTGGCCAGGCTGCGGTCGCATCCCCCAGTTCGAGGGACTCCTTCGGTCAGGATTAGAAAGGCAGTTGTGCTCGTCCCTCTAACGTCCCTCATGCTTACCTGGGGCCGTGGACACCAGCGCGCTTCGTGCCCCGGGTCAGGTTCGGCGGCTGCCGGGCAGGGCTGAGGCACGTGCCGGCCGGAGGCAGGGGTGGGCTGGCCCTCGTCCGCTCGGAGCTGACTGTTGAGTCTGCTTCCTGGTAGCTGCCCTCCTCCGGACGTCCTCGAGCCAGAGGCCACTGCAGCTTCTCCAAGGAAAAAGAAAAAGAGGAAAAGGAAGCAGGAGTCACGGCAGGAAGCAGCAGGGAACAAGCGTGCGGAAGGCTGGCAGGGCG